CAGACATAACTAATAGGTTTTTCAGGGGGTGGAAATGGGTGGTTTGTGCTTAATATGCACCTAATATAGATCATTTTTCTAGACTTAATAACAATGGTCTAATAGGTTGTGCTTTTGGGAATAAAATTAAGAAAGAATAAAGAAGGATGGCCTAAAATGAACTGGCTCTTTGTGTATGGGTCACCAATGTGACCTGCACAGAAATAGTATAAGCATGGGATTCTAGCCCCTATACACAGTGTCATTTGTTGAGTTGGGCAGGACTAGTCATCTATAGTGACACTTTATACCAGTGAGAAGCACATTTTGGCCACATTAGATTATCGCTCTTTCTTCAATTTATGTTTGGAAGTAGTCCTAAAAGCTTTTGATTAAGTCTCAAGGAATTGTAGACTTCTTATTTTCTTTCCTGTATTTCTTCTCTCCCCACCTTCCCCCCATTTATTAGTAGAGGTAGGAGAAACTTTAGGGAGAAATCATTTGGAGCTTAAGATACTGAATGTAAATAAAAGGAAAGTAATAGCATTTGTATTTTAAATGTCCTTTGGCTTCTTTTTCAGTTTCTAGATCACTGTCATTCCCGCTCACAAAAACCAGCACTGACTCTGGCCATGAGACTATGCCATTCCTTGGTCACCCACCTGTGTGTAGTCCTTCTCCAAGTCGCTTATTCTCAAGGATGTCTTCTCCTGGTTCATTGTTCCTCTCCACTTCTGCCATTATCATTTGTAATCTCATATCCATCCAATGTCCTAGTTTGCTTGCAACAGTTCCAGAATTAATATATATAGTTTAAACAATTATTTTCAATGCTCTTTTAATCTCATAATTATACTAGATGTATCTTTTGATCACATTGTACATGGGTGCATGGGTAATCCTTCCAATAATCAGATGTCTTTATTGACTCACTTCCTGTATTAGGTGCTAGCCAGTGACTTTCAATCTATGCTTCATACATGTGTGTGAGGGGGGAGGGGAGTCCTAAGACACTTTCATAGGGTCTGTGAAACTATTTTATAGTATTGCAAAAACATTTTATTTTAACTCTCTTCCCCCATCCCTTCCACCCCCACAATTCTCAGATTTTCCCGGAGCTAAGTATCTTATGTGATCCAGAAGCAGATATGAAAGTCCAGGTGTAGTCTAAAAGCCAAATATTTAAGATCATTTGTAAAAAGGTAAAAGAGTGACACTCTTTCACAACTGTTTTGCTTTTAGAAAATATAGTCATTTTTAACAGATATAATGCTATGGCATATCATACTATCATGGCTTTACTGGCGTCATTTTAAAAATAAACCTATAAATGAGTACTTAAAAATCCTCAGTTCTGAGGTAGAACATATTAGATATTGGCTTAATGCATATAAGAAAGCTTTGTGAGCACTCAAGAATTTTTAAGAGTACAAAGTGTTCCCAAAAGAGTTTTAAAATTGCTGCCCTAGATTTATTAGCAATAATTTCAATACCTCAATAATCTCAAATCCATGGATCATATTCATTGAGCATTGTTTCCTTCACATATTCTTGCCAGGGAGGATGTCCACTCCAACAGTCTTTGGTGCCACTAGAATCTAAATCCTTTATAACAGTGTCTCCTGGGTTTCTCATGAGCCTCTTTTTCTTTGTACTGAGTACCTGCAAACAACTGTTCTCACACTCTTTTCTTCTGTCATCTCACAATCAAACAACAACCATCTGGCCCATCCAGCTTCCCATTTCTTTCTCACCCATATGGACACAGCTGAATAAGTAGCGATGACCCAGGGGGTGGGGAAGATGGGAAATAAGAGGGGCAACAGAATGCCTTTTAGCAAATTTAGGTCAATAAATGTGGAAATTTTAATAAAGAAAATTTCTTTAAAAACTTGTCAAAAATAGGCTTCAAATTAAATAGGCAAGCTAAATAAAATAAGCCTATCACCATCAAATTGTACACTTAGTCAAAATATTCACACACACACAAAAACAAAACAAAACAAAGCAAAACAAAGAAAAAAAACAACAATCAGCTGGTTTTAAAAGTGAGTAGTAAGAAACATTCTAGTATTGGATCACTCCAATCTTACACAAACACTTCTAGAGAATAGAAAAATAGAATACCATCAACTTATTTTATGTGAAAGATATATTGACTTCAAAATTAGACCAGTACAGTATGAGAAAATGACAAATGTTGATGTAAACATCTTCAGTTGATTATTAACAAACTCAGTCCAGCTACATACACAAATATAATGAATCACCCTCAGGCTGATTTTATCATAGCCAACCAAGTTTGATTTAATTTCAAAATAAAATATATTTTTTCATATAATACAGATATTTTCACACTAACAGATATAGGCAAATAAACATACAACTATCACAATAAATGCATCAGAAGCACTGAATAAATCCTATTATACATTGATGATAAAAAGTCATTTATCAAAACAGGACTAGAAAGGAGTATCATATCCAGATAAGGTGAGTCTATGAAATTCACATCGCATCCATTGCTCAGTGGTGAAATCTGGAAGCACTGCATTCATGTAGGAACCATACAAGAACACTCACTATTGTCAAATCCTACCAATATTTTACAGGAGGTCCTAACAAATGCAGTAAGAACATTAAAAAGTTATTAGTAAAAGGAAGTAAATACCATAATTCTTATAAATTATAGTTGCAAAACCATTTATTTCAAAAGAATTTATAAATCAATTATTAAATTAGTAAGAATTAATAAGGTCCCTGATACAATACAAACACACAAATCAAATGTATTTTCTTTATACAATTGAACATATAATTAACAAATGTCATCTACTATAATAATAATATAAAGTGCTCAGAGACATCTATCAAAGGATTAATAAGTTTCATATAGGAGAGACATACCATGCTCATGAACAGAGATTAATATAAAGAGATCAATTTTCTCAAAATTGATTTAATGCATTTACAATGAACATGTATTGTATTATACTTTGTAAGCTTTGAGAAACTGTGCAAACTAAGTCTAAAATGCACGTGGAAGAACGAAGGCTTAAGAAAATCTAAGAAAAAACAAGGAAAATAAAATAAAAAGACTTGCCTTGCCAGATTTCAAGGCTAACAAAATGATATAGTAATTAAGACAGTGTGGTATTGTCAGTGGCATTATCAAATTTGCCAGTGGAATAAAGTAGAGAGCTCAGAAATAGATTCATACAAAATAAAAAGCCTGATATGTTGTAGTGATAGCATTGAAAGGTAAGGGGGGGGGGGGGGAAGAGGGGTTTTAATCTTTTTAGTCAAAGAAGAAGAAAAAATCAGAATCAACACAACAATGAATAGAAAGCAAATTAAATCCTAAAATATTAAAAGACAAAAATCTATGGCAGATAGACTAAAATGATTTCCATTTGTTACACCTGGTATTTGTGATCTCAGGTAATCCCTTGGGTGTGAGGACCTGTGGCTTGCTTCCAACCAAAGCTTATTGGGTATCACTTCCAATTGAGCAGCATTGTTAGTAGTTTCTCTATTGATTCACTCCCATCCTGGCTTTCATGAAGTAAACTGTCATATGGAGAAGCCCATGTGGTCATGACTGAGCGTGGTCTTCAGCCAAAGGCTAGAAAAGAACTAAGGCGTTTAGTCCAAGAACCCACAAGGAACTGAATCTTGCCAATAACCATGGAGCTGGGAAGCAGATGCTTCTCCAGGTGAGTGTCGGATGCCAGCCAGCAACCTGATGGCAGCCTTGTGAAAGACTCTGAACACATGGGTTCCTACCCACAGGAATTTGAGATCATCAGTGTGTGCTGCTTTTAAGCCATCAAGTTTGTCGTAATTTTGTTATATAGCAATTGACATCCAATAAAAGAATTAAGAGGTTTAGAGGAAAATAAAGATGGATATTTTTAGTGCCAAGATTCTGGAAAAGATTCTTTAATGAGACCAAAAAAAAAACAAAAAAAAACTATAAGTAATAAAAGAAAACACTGACATATTTGCTTACATTCAAATTAAGGACACCTGTGTAGCAAAATAGATTACACAAATTGTAGTACAAAGATCATGAAAATAGAAGCCAAAAAGTTATTCACAGCACATAGTATAACCAAAAAATGTCTATTATTAATATTATTAATATATGATAAACTTCAATGAATTAATAAGAAAAAATGAACTTGAAAAATGGATAAAAGACACGGACATGAACATGGACTTCATTTCACAAAATACAGATGGAAAACAATAAGGACTATACATGTGAATGTGCTCATGCTCAGGTGCATATAAGCTATATGTCATTAATAATCAGAACAGTGCAAATTAAAACAAAAATGTGACACCCAGACAGGAAAGTATTAAAAACTCTGAAACTGTCAAGTACAAGAGAACATCAGGAACAGAAACTTTCCTATGATGGCTGGAGTATCAATTTGTATAGACAATCTGAGAAATAATACCTTGGCATCATCTAGAATAGCCAAGGGTGTGCTTTCAGCCGTGGATACATATACTTGAGAGAAGGCTGGGGTGGGAGTAGGTGGGAAGGTTCAAAAAGTGGCATATGCATAGAACACTACCATGTTGAAAATAAGTGGATATCTACAAAATAAACATGCATCAGACAAAATTTTGGGCAAAGCAAAGCAAGTTGCACAATAATATATGCAGTATGTTACTGTTTACAAAAAGTTACAAAACATGAAAAAATCTACAATATGTTGATAAGAAGAGATGTGTGTGGTAGAGCTATAAAGATAATCCAGAGAATGGTTAACAGAAAATGCAAGATAAACATTCACTCTGGGTTACTTGGTGGGAAATAGGAGAATGTGCTAATGAGAGGTCAGAATTAATTGTGCATTTCTCACAGTATCTTTCAGATTTTTTATGCGTGGCACCGGATTATAGAATGTGAGAGTATATGAGTTCTGATACTAAATCCCACCTCTGGCCACAGAAACTGATCAGTATCACTGAGAAGGGCTTCTCTCTTCCCAGATAGGGTCAACATATTAGTGGAACCTATTTTGCATATCCATAATGCCTATGGTTTGGTAAAAAGGTGCAGCAGAGTTGGCATACTCTAGGATCAGCACAATAGTGTTTTCTAATTCACCTGAAGTGAACCATAGTAGGGTGTGGACAGCAATATCCAAGAAAAAGCAATCATAGCAAAGGAATCCCTGTCTACCAAGAGTATGAGCCCCACTCTCACAAGTCTGTGGCACTTGGTCCCAATGCAGAGGGTAGTTTTCATTGGGAGGCTGAGTTTCTGGCTGGAGGCTCTGGGATTTGCTCCTGGATTCTCTTCTACAGACATGGAAGACAGAAAGCATCCAAACGTACAAAGTACCAAGCAGAGGATAAGGTTCTTTTAGTCCATCCCAATTTATATGTGTGAATGACATTTATATGTTTGGCCAAATGAGTTAACAGGAAAACATTATTGCATACAGATTATTTTTTAATTGGGATAATTCTTTGTTATGTATGGCATTAAAGTGAATAAGATGAAATACATTGAGTTATTCTTCCTGTCATTACCAGCAATCATCAGCATGAACTCTGCAGACCTTGTGCTCTTCAGGACATTGGTATTCAGTGAGGGATCCAGTTTCTTTGTAGTAAATGTGTTGGGGAAGTTGAGTGAGAGGCAATAGGAAGAGGGCAAGTGTCAGTGCTTCTGTTCTATTTGCATGTCTCTGTGGTAATCAATAGCAGGTGCCATGACAACTACAAAGCCTAAATAAGAAAAGATTAGGTGGTGAACTCTATCCAAATTTACCAAAAACTCCCTCTTTAAACTACTCTTTTCTCGTCACCACAGTTTCAGAAATAAATAAACCCTGTCAACTACAGCACAGATAAGACTTTCTGACGCCTTTCATCCAGTGGTCATCTCTACCTGCCTGCCTCTCTTCTTGATAAATTTTGCAGTCTCTAGAGATTGCCAATTCCTTAGACTAGGATCATAGTCAACCAATTTTTGTGTTTTTCCCTTATATTAATCAAGACCTAGATATAGCCAAAAAAAAAAAAAAGTATGGTAAACAATGAATAAATTATAAATTCACTCAACATTATTTCACAAAGCATATTCCCCATGGAGATAACATGGGTTTCAAATTTATCTATAAAATAAGTACTGCATAGAGTTCTTGTGAGGATTGTAATGAGATTCATGAAAACTTATAGTTCAATCTGTAGCACATATTGAGACTAATTATGAGAGATGCTACATCTCTTTAAAAAAAAAAAAAAAAAAGTCTTCCCTGAGCCAACCTCATGCATCACTGACTTAGAATATCTCAAGCAACCTGCAAGAACCTCTTTTTAGAAAGATCATACCGAAAGACCTTACTAGTGGCAGCAGGGACAGATTGAGAGTACAAGTACATTGTGCAGGGATGTTCTTGCCATTTAGTAAGTTGGGGAGATGTATGCAGAAGACAGTGGAAGTCAGAGACAGAACTTAAAATTAAATTAAAAGAGTAGAGGCAAGTATTGCCCATCCTTGAATGGCGCAAGTTTAGTGGCTCAAAGTGTAGGACGATATGTCAATATGCAACTGCATTTCCCATTGTCTGCTTTCTCAGCTTCATAGGAATTCTAAGAGTTACCCAAGACCTAAAGAAAAGGGCTATTACAAACTCTCCCAACCACAGCCAACTTGCTTTTAGCTTTTTACTTAGTAAGAGTCTTGTTATATATATAGTTTCAGAAAAAAATGGTTTATGATCAAACATAGCAATTTTTAAGTCATTGTTAATACTCATAGAAAATTGAATGTGATATACTTTATATATTAGGACTGCTTAGGATCTATGATGATGCATCCCAAACTCTACTGATAAATGACATAAATTACAAGTGGCCAGAGGAGCAATTAAAGCATACTTGTGTGTGTGGAGGAGACCTTGTTTGAATATTTTCACTGAGGGTTATGTGGCCAGTCCTCTTCCATGCTGGGAATTTGACCTAACCATCCCATTCTTGGCAGGCACTTACTATTTCTTCCTGTCTAAAATGTCAATCAAATGTCTAATATATGGATCTAGGCCTAATATGTATGCATTTTTGTGTCATCTGCTTAAAACTGTGCTTCTCCAGGTTTATATAAATTAAGCCGCATAGATTTACCTTTTTTTTTTTTTTTTTTTTTTTTAACAGATTCTCCCATTTCTTATCCTTCCTGGAGTTTCTATTACAGTAAATTCAACTCTGGGTAGAGCACATTCCATCTAAAAGTAATTAACATTATTTCACTTTGGAAAAATAGATTATTGTCACTATATTTACTTATGTTACTTGTGTCAGCGAAACACATTCTTTCAAAGTTTCAAGACTTAAATGCTCTAATTTTAATAAGAGCTTTTATCTCAACTGGGCAGAAGTTTGGGGAAGTTAGTGAAGGAATTGAATTTACAGAGGGAACATTTAGTTTCCTTTGAAAGAGTCACATAGTGATCATTGCTGTTTTATTTTTAAGATGATTAAGAATAAGTGTAGAGTCTGGTTGAATTTTTTCCTAGGTGGCACCCTAAGAATGTAGGACCTGGGTGTTTGGAGAGTCAGTCACCTTAGGTATTGAGATGACAAGGCAGGGGTCCCCAAACATGAATATATGAACATATGCATGCATGTTCAATGCCTCTCCACATAAAATATTTCTACAGGAGAAGCTGCAAGTAGGTGCTCCCCTTCAGCAAACTTTCCCGTGGGGCAGGAGTGGGTGAGTACAGGGACAGGAAAATTCACCTTGACATTGCTGGAAAGAAGGTGGTGCACTGTGAAGCTCATTTTATTAACCATGTCACTTTCATCAGCTATCAATAACATGTTCCCATATTCATTCATTCACAAAACTACTCTTTTTCATTTTCCCCTTTCCTCCACATAATGAACCTGGCTCTCTTCTGCCCATGGGCACATTTCTATAAAATCTTAAAGAAAGGCAGTGGTATAGCTTCCATTTTCTTATTTGTCACCTACACACGTCTAATTCTTACCTTGATCAGACCTAACATTACTGCCAACCCAAAGCCTTTATAATGGATCTCATTTGAGATCACATATCCTGGGAAATGAAAGCAAACAGTGAGACTCTGACCAACTATGAAAATAGTGTTAACATCTGTGTAGCAATTTTACATGCCTGTTGATAACCCTCAAATAGGAAGGCAACTGTCTTCCTCGGCAATAACAGTGTAGATTCAGGTCTTCGGTTGCCCTCCCAACCTACGTTAATAGCACTTCCATTCATTTTGACATTGGAGAGAAAAAGTCATGGGAGCTCCGGGAAGAAAGTCGATATAAGAGGAGTAGGAGTGGCCTGCATTCATTCACACTATATCGGGGGAAATGACAGCCACGTGAGGTTTTGCTGGAATGGAACATATCCACAGCTTTATCACTCTACAGGCACATTCTGACACAATAACAAACTACTGAGAAAGAACCACTTTTATCTAGGTCAGAACAACAGACTCCCAAGTGCTAGAGAGCTTGGGGGGAAAGGACAGTTTGCAACATCAGGAAGAAGACTGCAATCTGTACAGAGATTTCATCAAGTCTCCACACTGCCTAATAGTTTTCACCCAGGACGTTGTAATTACTCCACTGGCTTGTACTGGCACAGCATTTGGATTTCAGTGCCTACCAAAAGAAAATGAGCCGCATTCGATGACGACTACATTTATAATAAGATGCAGATGGTGAAGGAAACAGATGCTTCTGACATCATCCCCCATTTGTCCACACTGGCAGTCTGTAAACTCATTCAAAGGATGCGAGACAAGTCAGGCAGTTTTCCAACTCTGCTTCCAGTCTAAAAAAAAACAAAAAACAAAATGCAGCCTGTGGTGGCTCAGCTTCTTTTGAGTCATACGGCGATAATTCCACAAAAAGATGTTTCATTATAAATCTGGGTTAGGTTTTAATGCAAAATTAATCATCAGGGGGAAAACATCCCGAAAATACAAGGAGTTTAACCATCAGTAAATGCGACTGATTTTGCACGACAGTGACAAAAAAAAAAAAGAGAGAGAGAGACCGGATGGGAGTGGTGTGATGCTAGCAGCTGTGGCTTCAAGGAGGCAATACAAAGAAAGGAGTTTTACACAGACAAGCAGGTCAAAAATACTCCACCAGCCCTTGGCACCCAGATTATACAAAGGCTGATTCCATTACTTCAAAGTAGAAAGCATTAAGAAGGCTGTTTAGGTCAGTTTCTGATCTGCAAAAAAACAAACAAACAAAAAAAAAAACCACACCACATTCCTTCTGTATATCCATCTGTATTTTATAAAGGAACCCTATAGTTCAGATAGAAGTTTCCACCATTTCCCCAGTGATATCACTAAACATTATACACAGTAAAGGATTTATTTTCTTGTGCAGGATAAACATGTTAGAAGACCTTTTATAAAAAGCTAAGGAACTTCTGTAATCCATCTTGAAAGCAAGAGACGCCTGGGTAAAACAACAACGGAAGGCCTTGAGCAGCCTTTAAGGTTCTAGGACACATCAGCACAGTTGCAGATGAAGAGAGTTAAGACAAAAACTTTAAAAGTCTTCCTATTTCTCCTGACCACAACAGAACTTCGTCTACACCTCTGTAGTGGAAGCATTTTAGCAGAAAACAATTCAGAAACAAAGGCAAGAAAGTAGTAACATAAAAATTAAATCATGCTCTGCCAAATACGGTGTCTATTTTTAAAATAATCTCTCTGTGCAATTAACTGAACACACACATTCTCTTCTCTCTCTTCTCTCTCTCTCTCACACACACACACACACACACACACACACACACACACACACCAAGTACAAGAATAAGCAAACTTCTAATCCATGTCCACAAACTGGGTTGGAACATATTAGTGCAAATTCCTGCTGACCCGCAGCACTCAGCCCATAAACTTTGGATATCCTAGACGGTCCATCAGTGTCCAGCAGATGTTTTCAATCTGTTTAATTTTATCTCTAGGCAAGTTTTGTTTCCAAACATTAGTATTACTTGGTGATATTTCCCCTTCGTAGGGAAGATTGAAAAGGTTCGTGGAAGTGGCAAACAATATTTGGTTTAAACTAGCAGGAGACAAAGGGATGCCAAGGAAGGCGAAAATCCTTTCGGTGGTTTTCTGGGGGAAATGCACAATGTCTTCAAACTTGACCAGCTGGTAGCTGGTAGGTAGCAAATCCGCGTTTATTCTCAGGGCTGCTGCTGTGTGTGCCAGCCACAAATGAGACAACAGGGAGACCGCGTTAGCCTTGGGTTTTGATAATTCTTTCCTTAATGATTCATACTCCGGAGCATAGCCCGAATGTAAGCTACATCTGTCTTTACCTCCCTCTACTTTAAACAGTTTGGCTAAGCGCTCTGGTATATTCTTCAGAGAGTAAAGACTTGGTTTGCTTCTGTACAGCATTGAATAAACCCATGCCCGAGGGTCCCTTACTACATACAATGCCCTCAGCGAAGATCCCAAAACCTCCTGGAAAAAATGAAGCTTTAAGTTCCAGCTCCCACTGCTTAGACTTAGCACAGGCCGTGCGCTCGGGAAGTAAACCAGGTGTCTCCTCAAAGCCCTAATATATTCAGCATCTCTATCAAAGGCGCCTCTCATTCTACTTCTTTGTTCCGACAAAGACTCTCTTCTCTTCGACTTTCTTTTCTTGTCCTTATTCACTGGAAAATATTGGGCCAGTTTACCTCTGCTGGATTCATGCAGATGGATGTTCTGCAAATGCAGTTTTGTATCTTGGACTAAAGACTGCAGCCAGCCTCGGAGCAGGCGGAAATGCACGCTGTGGATATCTGATGCCTTCCATTCGCAGGCGTCTACAAAGGAGTCAATTTCAAATTCGGTTTCAGGGATATCAATGTATGTTGTGGGAACCCTGATGTAGAGGAAATCGCTGCTGTTGAAAAACAGTTGTTTGAGAATTTCAGCTCCTGAACCAGGAAGTGAGGTAATGACAACGTCCGGACGATCCACGTGGTGCCCTTGGGAAGACACAGACTCGGCGCCGGCCTCCATCTCCGTCCTTGCCCATTTTGCACAGATGGGCTGAGTGCACGTGCTCCACACATCCAGGAGCTCGATAAACCACAAGACAACAACAAGGATTAGGATCCACCGCATCAGCTTTCTAAAAGACAGGTAAAACCGCCACTGAAACGTTAAAATCAACAAGCTGATGCACAAAATCAACCCGATTGCTATATTAAATTTAAATCCAAAGGGGAACATAACTTTATCCTGTCTTACGGGCCTTACGATCGCTTGAGAGCCCAAACCGAATCGGGTGATTTGGCCCTGATCAGCCACATTGGCAAAGCCACCAAATCCCAGGTAGTTGAATCTCGTGTTCAGGTTGTAGTAGTCAGTTACAATGGAGACAACATGTTCGGTATTATTGACGTTGAGAGAAATCTGAAGTCCGGAGTTGGAGTTATCAGTAAACCTGCAGCTGGAAACATTGACATACGGCCCATAAAAGACATATGCGATTCTCGTGATTGTGGATTCCATCTGAAATGTGACGTTAACAAACTGGGTCCACCGCTTCTTAAATTCAGCAGCTTGCTCTGCTTCCTGTATACTCGCAACGGGGCTACTGCCACGGTGATCAAACCAAAACATTTTGTAGTGTGCATCCCACACGTCCATCATGGCGCCGTTATACTTGTTCATAAACCTGTAGGGGATGTACTTAAAATCAATATCCAGGTTATGAAAGAAGGCACTGACAGATTTTATCGGAGAATCATCTTGCTTCTCAATGTGATCGACAACTAGCAAGGTTTGAGAATTCAGGAGAAGCAAAGCACGGTACACGCTTTTCAGTTTCATTGCTGAAGAGTAAGCAGACACTGCCTCCCCACTCACAAAGATCATTTCCCCATGCTGAGAGGCAGTGATGATTTCCCCTGCTGCGTCACCAACCTCCTCATTGGTCCACTTGAGCCACTGTGCACATTCTCCCAGCTGACCTTCCCAGGGCTTGTTACACTGGCTCGTGGGTGACGGCGCAAACACCAACACGTTGTTGAGGTGGCTCAACTTGGGTCCATAGAGAGCTTCGGAAACGAATACTTGCCCATTGGGAGCAAAAGTAAACGAGTTCTGGTCTGGATGCTCATGTCCTGGGTTGAAGCTTCGCCACCCATCAATCCAGGAGTATGGCTGAAAGTGAACTATGTCATACACAGCTCGGCCTCCAAGTTTCCCAGACTTAAAAGACACAAAGGTATTGGTCTGGGTATTTGGCAACCCAGCCCCATACGTGACAACACCCCAGTTAGGGAAGGTGTGCATTTTTGCCATACCATATTCAGCGGGAGGCTGTGGGGTGAGCTGGGGATCATACCAGATGTATTCAGTGTGAAGAGTGCTCCATCTCTGGGCAGTGGAAGGGACCATCGGTCCATCTTTAGGTCGGTGCCTTCTAATCTGCTGAGCTAACCAGTTCCCAGCTCCATTCTTTAAGATGAACTTATCCAAGAAAACCAGCTGGCTCTCTGGACCATAAAACCAATTATAATTGGAATCTGCTATGCCCACAGTTCTTTGGAATCCCGGTAAAAGGGTGGCATAATAGAACCAAAAGTGCATTTTTAACCAGTTATTATCCAAGTTGTTGATATTAAAATGGCGCTGGGCCAGAAACACATACTGTGTGACTGATTTAGCCGTGTAGCTTCCATACGCCACACCTTCATCCAAAGAACCATCGACAATATGATTCAATAGAAACATGGTTTTTTCCATCACATCTACCACAACTTGCTTCCATAAATTTACTTTAGAATCTTTTTCTGCCCCCGTCACCAAAGCCCCGGTGAGCAGTGCTATCATATTCGTAGCTTGGTGGTTATGAAGAAGTTGTTTGCCCCATGACCGGACCTTGGAATACTCGTACATTTCCTCGGTAACCACCCATATTTTTTCCAGGTATTTCTGTCTTCGGTGAGCATCTAGGAAGTTATATAAAAAGTCAAAGGCTGTGGCAAAGCCTGTTAAGGAATGGCCAACTGGGACCTCATCCCCTGGTGCATTCTCAACTAGCCAGTCTTTGTAGCCAACCATCCTGTCCATATATTCCAAGACAAATTCAAAGGCAACTTTGTCTTCTGGGCATAGCAAACAGTACAAAGCTAAAGGAGGCAGATTGTTACCATAAATTTCATTCCACTTGGCAGCAAAGTCAGCATGCTTGGGTGGAGGTAGGTAGTATGTTGGGTTGGACAGCATAACTGTCACTGCATTTCTGATAGCTCTAAAAAGGTGCAAATGGCTTGTGCGAGACTTTTGTCTCATTGCTTGAATCTCTCCCGCATCGAAATACAAACTTGGATAAAGCATACTTTTTTTCTGCTTTTGGTTGGATCTGAAATCTTGCACTTTCTGTGTCTTAAACTGATCCATATCATCTGCAAAAACAGCCCAGTCAGAGTAATTGCTTACAGATTCCTCAAAAGTAGAGAAAGCAAACATCACTAATGCTAAAAATAAGAAATGTCCTGTAAACATTAACGCCATGATCCATCAGGGAGTTCCCTTCCTTAGGCAATCATGTCAAACAGAGTGCTCAATGTGGTTCCCATCTGCTCAGTATAAAACACCCATTTAAGGCCTTGATAAAACAAAGACTATAAATCGCTTATGCTGTGAAATCCAGCTGATAGTTGGCTCCTTCAAAGCAAATACGATTGCCAAAAAGAGAAAACTTACACGGTATATCTGTGTCTCTAACACAGTTTTGCTTCCAACAAAACTTCAAGGAATGTTAAATCCTCTAGTTTTTCCATATCACAGAGCAAACAGTGATATAGAGAGTCAAACATACTATGACTTTAGGATTTATCTCCTTTGCATAAATTTAACATGAAGTATCAAAACACACATTGTATCAAAAGAAAAACAAAAAGGTAGAAAAAAAACAAAACACTCTAAGTTCCAAATTAAGCCATTCCTAGCACAGGAAACCATCGCAGGAAATAAAATCCCCAGACGTGAGTGATGCCCTTGTGTGTGTGTCTACCCACAGAAGGTGACGGAGTACTGAAATCCTTGGGGTAGACTCGGTTGTTTTTCTTCTCAGCTTTTTACATTTCTGACTTTGAGAATTTTTATTCTTCGTTTTTGGGAGAAAAACATCCTCAACAAGTGTCCAAAGTCCTACCTGGTTTTAAAAAAATCTCAAAATTCCTGTCCTCATTTCAAATCTGTCTTTTTCAGGCCCTCTTGCTTATCAGCCTATTATGCCCCAGAGGAAGCATTCCCATGTCTTCTTTGATCAGCTTCATCTGTACAGCTAGAAGAATCTAATCTCTTCTGCCACCTAGGTACTTCTCTTCCAATCACGAAGTGACCACCAGCTGGGAAAGAACACTCCCCTTTCACCAACAATGATGGCTCTTTTCTGTTCCTTTTTCATGACATTCCTTTCTGGGAGGAGAGAAAAAAAAAAAAAAAGCACAAAGAAATTCTCTGAGGCTACAAGCATGCTGGGAGTGGATATAAATTGATATCACAATTCATGTACTGGACAGAAATTTCGGAATCACAATAAAATCTGTTATTAAATACAATCTAAGTTAATTCAAGAGATCCTTTTTTAAAAAAATTACTATTATACTTTTAAATGCACGTATTAGGATAACAAAGAATAGTGGCAGATGACAAGCAGCTACAAGATATAACTTTGCCCGACGGTATTTATTTTAACTGTAGCTGGCTTTAGCTATTTAAAATGTTTTAAGGGGGTGAGGGGTAATGAAGGGTGGAGGGGTTCTAGTGTACGGTGACTAAGGGAAGGAGATTTGACTCTGGCTGTTAGGCACACCAGCCAATATACAGATGATGTATTGTACACTAGAAACCTATATAGCTTTATTAAGCAATGTCACCCCAATAGATTTAATTTAAAATGTAAAATAAATAAAATGTTTTTATTCAAATGCAGTTTACCCAGCGAGTCCTGCTATGGTTGTTGTTGTTTCAGGCACAAACGACTCGGTGACAAAAAGCAAAAGTTGCAAGGACCGTTATTAGATTCCGTTTGAGGGTTTAGCTTTCATGGGATCAGAAGGTGCCCCAGTAAGGGACCACTTTCTTCAAAGGAGAAAGCATGACAATGTGTGGGAGCCAAGAAGGGCAGGCAGTTCCGCTCCCACCTCTCACCTGTAGCCTCGGTTTCCATCCTCGCAAGGAGCCAGCAGAGGGAGCTCAGAGCCAGACTTCAGGAGTCCCCGCGAGTCTTGGGATGGGAAGAACCTACCCAAGTTTCAGTCCTGGACAAGTCTCCTCTCCGCGGAAACGTTAACCCGAGGAGTTTTCCTGCCCGGCCCCGCCTGTTGCATTTTTTTTTTTTTTAATGCGCTTCCTAAGGAACATGCCGCCCCCATCCTGCGCTTCCCGCTCCCCGATCTCTGGCGGTGATTAGGGGACAGAAGACCCCTCAATGGTCAAGTCCACTCACCTTCGCAGATCCGGACGGGGTCCTCCGGTGGCGCTGGGCCCCAACGCGGCGGAGGGGGGGAGTTGGAGGGAACTGCTGTGCGCAGGAGGCCCGGCCGTGCGGTTCCGCGCGGGGTCCCTGAGCCCCGGACCCCGGGCCCCGCGCTCCCCGAGCTCCAACAGGCTGCAGCCCCGCGCTGGTCCCCCTCGGGGGACGCCGGATGCCCCGGGCCGCCCGGGACCGCGGGAGGCAGGTCCGCGCGCGCGGAGGGCGCTGGCGGGGGCGCCGTGTCCAGCCGAGCGCCAGTCCCCAAGCCGCGATGCCCGAAGCCGCCGCCGCCGCCGCCGCCGCCGCTCCTCCGTGCCAGCTCCGGCCGCGCGGCCCGGGGAGGGCGAGAGACAGCTACGGGGACGGGGGCGGGGCGGGGCCAGACAGGGGCGGGGCCTGGGCGGGGCCTGGGGGCAAGTCTGGGACGGGCGGAGCCTCGGGATGGACGGGGACTCTTGGCGGGGCGGGGCCAGAGGGACTGGGTGATGGGGATGCCGGGCTGGGGGCGAGTTGGGGTGGGCGGGGCCTATCGCGGGGCGGGGCCAGAGGGACTGGATGTTGGGGATGCCGGGCTGGGGGCGGGACAGGAACAGGCGACGGCGGGGCCGGGGCGGGGCCGAGCGCTCTCCCGTCCAATCGGGAGGGGCTCGGGGCCCGCGCGTCCCTGGCCGCCGGGGCTGCGGGGAGCTCCGGGACCGTGGGATCTCCAAGCCAGGACTTGGAGGTGTGTGAGCATCTGAAGTTTTCGCCCGCCCGCCCGCCCAGGCCCTTTGGTTATGGGGCGAGGACCACTGGAACAGGGCCGGGGTGGGAGGAAGATGGAGGGAGCTCTGGGCAGGAGGACACATGGGAGAAGCGGGGCTGGAGGGGGGAGGCGGTGGGTGTCTGCCATCACCCCTTTAGGAAGAGCAGGGGCTGAGGGGGATGACAGGCAGTCTGGCCGAAGTTGCTGTCACATAGGAAAGCAAAATCAGTGTACCCGAGTGATGTGAGGGACTTCAGGGGCACAGATGCTAAAGATCAGGGGGAACCAAAAAATATTCACTAGCTTTATGGATGGCAATAATTTTTCCGGCAGCATAGATATGGATAGGTGCGTGACAAACAGATGGAAGGAGCCTCCTTCTTATTGAAAAAAAAATGGAACTGGAGTAAAGACCCATGGCAGGTGAAGACGGAGTTTCTTGGTTACTATGACATGTACTGCAATTCTAGGGTTAGCAAATCCTAAGGCAACTGTGAATCCTGTTGTACTTGACCTATTGAACTTCTCACAGGTATCAGAGGTTATATTTCCATGTAAACCAACCCGAGATCTGACCTCAACTATCACAAATAACAGCAATAATAAGAACACAGGGAAATATAAAGAGTTGCAAATGAACAAGCCCATCCCATGGGAAAAAAAAAAAAAATGAGTGCCTTGCTTAGATCACTTCCTGGTAAAACCAAACAAAAGACAATTGCTAGGAGAATAAACTTCAATAATTTACCTTGGAGGTGAAAAATGGCCTCTACTTCCTTATTCTTCTATTTTATTCCCTTGGGGACCCCACCAAAGTCCAAATGGCCAAAGTTGCTTTTGCTTTGGCCCTTGATAATGATGCTTATCCTGTTCCTCCTTGCACAGCATCATCATCTGCCCAACCACCCTCACTTACCAGTAGAAATTTGTCTATTGAGATTCTTATAATCATTCTCGTCTTAGCTCAGATGCTTAAATTCCTCTCTAAATACCTCCTAGGTTTCCCTAACCAGAATGAGTCACTCAAGCACTTTGTGATTTGGATCTATAGTCAGCCCTTATTAGAGCATTTGTTTTATGCTTAATGTTACCTGACTGACTCCTGTGCTCTGTGCAAAGCTCCTTCAATGTCCAAGCAGTCACCCATCCCCTCTGTAAGCGCTGTATCTATGTTTGAAATGAGTCGAACCTTTAACAGTGGGCTCCACGTGGAGCACGGTCTCCTCCACTGACATTCATTGTGAAGCATGAGTTTTCCAATGAGCTCCAGAAACATAACTTCCAAGTCTGGCTTGTCCCCCTATGTGGCCCACTATTCAGGAAGATGACTCATGGCCCCCAACCTCGGTTATGGGAGAGTATGGAGTCGGGGGAACGAAGAGCTCAACTGCAGAGATTCCTATAATTTTCTGCAAAGAGGTGCTTTGGAAACTGCCTAGGAATTAGTGCTATAGACAGAGTGAGTAAGTATGCAGTCTTTTTCAAGAACAACATGTGTGGATGGCGTTCTTTTATCCTGAGGCTCTCAAATCTCCCATGACACTAAGGCAAGGTGAATGAATCATGGAGATTATCGTGAGTACTAACATCGGGCAGGAGAATGTTTTAACTTCCATCCGATCTTTTTTTCGGATTTATTAACATCAGTATGTCCATTTTCACTTTACAGATGAATGGGTTCAGGTACAGACATTGTGGCCTTTTGGTGTTGCCTCTTGCATGAGTGCTGAAGCTATGGGATGCAGCTAACATCCAGCATCTTCAGGTGAGCTTTTAGGCTAATTCACATTGAGCAGCATCGTCTCCCAGTTATGTGTGTTGAAATAAAGCAGGAGCTACAGTTGACCAATGCTAATCGCAGGCAGAAAGGGTGGGTGGCAAATGGCACTATGAAAAATGAAGAGAGGTCCTGGCCAGGCAGCTCAGTAGATTGGAGCATTGTCCCTTTGTACCAAGGTTTGATCCTGGGTCACAAGAAGTAACCAGTGAATGCATAAATAGGTGGAACAACAAATTCATATTTCTCTCTCTTCCTCTCTTTGAAATCAACAAATTAAAATTTAAAAAAAGAAAAATGAAGAGAATCTTGTTTTCTGGGAACTAAAAATGGATAGCTGTGATTATTTATTGCTCCTTCAACATGTGAAGATGATACAAAGTTAGTTATAAATAATGCATCTTACCGTAGAAGGGATGAGCTATATGTTATGTTATTGTACATTAAAAACCTTTATGAATGTGGCAAGAGACATACACCAACAGCTGCTAAATTCAGAATCCTGGAGC